GTGCGACGTTTGAACCAGCAATGTCTTTTGATAAGGCTAAAAAATGAGGTATTTACTGTGGAGACATGTATTCAGGCCATAAAATTGCTAGATCACACAGTTCCAAGTCCACTTTGGTTCAAGTTCAATACCATTCTGTTCAAAGTATGATTCCGATTGTGAGGTATTTCTGAAACTAAAAAAATACAAATATCAGTTTTTCCTTTTGAAAATAGCTACAACTTAAAAGTTGTCATGCATATTTTAATATACTTAAATGTTTTAATCATGTTAGCTTATTAAAAGGAGATACTAATTATAATTTTGTTGATATGCCAAAGACCATTTTAACGTATGAGACAAACAAGCAGACCAAATTAATCACAGAAATTCTTTAAAAAACCATAACTTCACATTACAATCTAGATATTTTGTGAATACACTACATACACATCGAGTATTATATATGACATTAACATACTCTTCATTTCATTGCTTTAAGAGACGTATTATAATATCATATTTATTTACCGAACTCAAATGTAAATACTTCAAAACAAAGTATATTTAGGACAGAATCTGAACAATGTATGTTATCTCAAACTTGAACAGTAGCTCAAACTTGATACTCCGTATCATTTTAAAGATATGTTCAACGAAATGATAGATCCGAACAGATGTCTTTGAGTTACAAAAAACATGTAGATTTAGCAAATTAATCTCATTACAGAATCTCTTATTTGGAAACCGAATATATACTTGATAAAATAAATAAATCTTTTAAGCAAAATCATATAGAACTGCATGTTCAGAAAAACTAAAACTCCGTATAAACATAGTAATAGTATAAAACATACCAAATGAAGAAAGAAGAGGCCTGAGATCTCTTATGTAAAAAGAGATAATACAAAGAGATAGAGTTGGATTTAGAGAGATAACCACCATTTTTGAGAGACTGGGTGTGGACCGTGTGGATGGAGAAGAATAGTAAGAAACTGAAAGAAACCCTACATGCCGCCGAAGGTTGATGAGCCGATGGACTGTGAAGGGGACCGACGTATAAATGTTAAAGCTGCAGGGTAAACGTATATAGGGCAGGTTAGGTCTGGGTTATTGGGTAGCTTTTTATTTAAGGTGTTGGGCTAGGTTTGATGCAAAATGAGCCGTATAAATGGGGTTTATTTGACTGCATTAAAGCATATGAGTTGGCCGGAGGCCCGGACTCTGTAATTTTTATTATGTTTATACTACGTAATTTTTATGGAGTTAATTAATATTAAGTTTATGTGTTCGAAATTATGAAATTCAGTGAGATTAGATTATAACATCAATAATATAATATGTTTTATATTATGGATATTATTTTTTATTATTGGTATCGAAATTATTATTATTATTATTATATTAGAGAACTTATGTCATCAGTCCGGACTAATAGAGAGTAGAGATGGCAATTTCGGCCGACCCGTTGGATACCCGCACCGAACCGATTTGGTCAAACTGGGGAAAACCGGTTTGACTGGGGAATGGGTATGGGGCGGGGAATACCCGAATTTTTTAAATGGTTAATGGTGCGGTTATGGTTCTATACTAATCCGCCCCGTTATCCGCCCCGAAACCGCCCCGTTCACTAATGGTGCGGGTACCCGCACCGTTACCCGATCCGTAACATTATTAATGAATTATAACTTTTTATATATAAGAATAATAAGTATATATGCTAAATTGTGTATACTAAATAGTATATATCATATAAATAATGCTAAAAAGTATACTACTTTTTAGGCCTAAAACTAAATATAGGCCTAAACCTGTTTTTGGAATTTGGATTCTGGGATAATTACTACATTTTTATTATGTTACAAGAGATATTAGGTGCATGTCATACTAATGGATTTAGGCCAGTCTGCTTGATTGCTTAAATATTTACTTTTGTATGTTTTTGGGTGTTTTGAATATATAAATAACAAGTAGGATTAGAAATTGGTTATTTGTTTTCCAAAAAAATGGTTATTTGGCATCATTTGGGGAAACGGTTATCCGTGGATAAACTGATTCCCCGTTGGGGCGGGTACGGTTCAAATAAAAATTACCCGAACGGGTAATGGGGTGGTTTTGGGGCAAACATTTATCCAACGGGGCGGTTTCGGTTTTATGTGTACCCGTCCCCGATCCGCCCCGTTGTCATCACTAATAGAGAGTCCCGTCCGGCCAAGCCCGTTTGAGGGTTTCCCTGATCGAATTTTTTGATGAAATTTTGTGAACATATTCTTCATGAAATGAAGATTATCTCCATAAAATTGTAGAGATATTATACACTTCAAGAATAACATGCGAAAAAATCATCAAAAAAATCAACCCGAAAGACTCTAAAACGGGCTTGACTGTGCGGGCATTTGCTCAGAAGTGCATGACCAGCCCATTCCTCATTATCATTATGTATTATATGATTATTACTTATAATAATGTTAGAATATTTAAAATTATAATTTATTCATGGTATTGTTGATATTATAATTATTATAATTAAAATCACTTTTGAGGTTAATTGATAGTGTATAAGAATTGTTAGTATATAAGAATTTGTAAAAAAAGAAGAAGAAGAGATTTTTCCTAAAATATTACTCATAATAAACTCATGTATTAAAATGTGACTATAGTAAGTATGACTCCAACTCTTGAATATATACATGACATCTTTCAATATTAAGGGAGTGTTTCGAAATGTGTAGATGATGACAAACCGACCATACTGCCAATGTTGTTTACAAGAAAGTGTTTCGAAATGTGTAAATTGTAAAAAAAAACTTATTTTAACATTTGTTTATTTGTACTTATATTTCAAAACATACTTACTACCAATGTATGAATCTTAACTATTGTTTTCTCAATTATAATTTATTATGTATATTATTTCTTTACTATTTGCATACATTTATACATTTACACATAATATTACTCTGTAACAAATAAGGACATATAACTATTACATTATTTATGTCCCGTGCATCGCACGGGTGAAAATCTAGTAGAAACCAAACAAAACATGATATTGAAAAGTTGGTCATTGTTCAAAACTTTGCTAGTAAATTTGAAAAGTCAACATCCATGTGAAATATGGAAACAACTTACCTCGTTTATGGTACTTGACTACTATGGCCTATGGGTAGGGCAACGCATTTCGATCGAGACTAGAAATCATACTGGACCGAATTAGTTGGATCGGCCCAAACCAATTGCATAGCTATCAGGCCTTTGATCCAAGAGTTTTATCGTTTCCGATTTGAACTCAGTCCGGTCCAAAACCTGAAATATGCCAATTCAACATACTTTGATCGGAATTAAAATATACTCTGAAGTGTGTGCGTATAATTAAATAAAAAATATGTCATTTCTTGAAGTGTATAGTTTGAAGTCACTAGTGTATTGTGCAATGTATGGCTACATAACATCATGCCTCAAGTCTTATGACAAATGTAAAAAGTATAAAATGATGAACACATTAATGATCTGAAAATAATATTTAAGACCTTGTTTGATTTGAGGGATCTGGAGGGAGGGGATGGGGAATAAGTGTTCTCTGTTTGATTGAAAAAGTTAGAAAGGGAGGATATTTCAAAATATTTTTCGTCCAATTTCCATCTCACCTTTTATTTATTAAAATGGTGTACATTATTAATTATAGATCACTGCTCCCTCCAATTCTAAATGTTCTTCCTCCTTTTTTATATCTGCCTCTATAAGTTCTTCCAATTTCAATTTTAAATATAAAATTTTACCCTAATTGTCCTTCTCTTTGCTACATTTATCCTTTTTCACTCTCTGGAGGCCCACGTCCCTAAAATTTGAGGCACAATGGCACAACCCCACGAGGAAAGAACAAATGGAGGCAGACGGACTATATTATTAACTATAACAAAATTTATATTAAATATTACATATTTTTCTAAAATAAAACTTCTTCCGTCCCGAAGTATGTCTCTTGTAGTCTTGTTTGAGTTCGGCCAAATTTTTAATGGAGTGGATGAAAAATAAATGTTGTGGTTGAGGTTTGAGTAGAACAGAGTGTGATATGAACTACACATTTCTTGTCAAAAAAAGTAAAAGAGCAGTTATTTTGGGACAATCCGAAAAAGAAAACTAGACCCATAATTTGGGAGAGGGAGTAATTAATTGCACTACATTGACCAACATTACACCTTTTTACACTCTTTCATATTCTTCACCTCTTTCCCCTAAGGCCCTCACCTGTTTCGAACCAAAGGCTACAACTTTTATTTTTCTCGGCTTCCGCATCAAAAGTGTTTTTACTTTTTCTATTACACAAAAAACACTTATTTTACCAAACACTACCCACTTTTACTTTTCAAAATCACTTTTTTCTTAAACACTATCAACTTTTATTTAATCACTTCTCCCCATTTCATTAAAAAAGCACTTTTTTAAAAACAGAAGTTGTTGCAAACAGACCCTAAAGCTATTGCCTTCTATCTCAATAGATTTAACAGTGGAACACCATATGCCAACTGTAGCCAATATGATTATCATAATTAAATGTCCATAACCTTTCCGACAAAAATACATAAATGTTAAGTCTTTTGTTATTGTTATGACTGTTCTATGTGACATTTACTTCTCCCTAATATATAAACATGACAAGAATCAATAATGATTCATCAAATGATGAGCAGACATCTGCTGCTTTCTGGACTTCATGCATCTTATAGGAACATTTTTTATGATGCAACACTATACAACGTCTTCTAAAGTGGATGGTAGGACTAAAATAGTCCCAAGTATTTCATAAGGCTAGTTTAACTAGACAATCATTTTCTTACCAGTAAAATCAGTAAAAGATGGAGGAAGCATTGGCTCATAAGCTAATCTCCAAACATATCCATAACTAAGGCTCAATTGATTTCTAAAGATAACCAAAACCTGGGGATGATTAATTTCACCGTGTTTACTTAGGTTCACTTTATCCAAACGAAGCGTTTAATGTTGGTTAACACAATAACTTCGCTAAGTGCTAATGAGGGATAACAACTTAAAAAGAAAGAAAAGAATGGCCTACATAAAATTACACACATCATTTATATAAATCGTGTTAGGCTACAAGGATAAGTGGCAATGATAGATTTTACAACTCCTAAACTTGCAAGTTTTACCAATAATAATAATAATTAAATCATAAAAAACTACCAGAATCTACAGTACTTGTACCAATCGGGGAGTCCCCCTGGCCCATGCTCCTTCAAGTACTCGTAGCTTGCTCCTCCTGATGACTCGGTCTTGCTGGTGCTCTCGCCCTCCCTCTCCCTCTCCCACTCCTTCACCCTCTCCCAGTTCCTCTCCCTCTCCCTATCCCTCTCGCTGTCACTGTCGTTGCTCTCGCTACTGCCACTGTAGTCTATGTGAGCACATAGACAACAACCATAATAAAAACAGCCAAATGGATTTTGTGGGTCCACTGATTTGTTGGCTAATAGGGAATCGTAAATGGGACAAGAGATATAATGGTATTCGCGAGGTTTGGAAGTTTTCTTGGGCTTCTCCATTGATAGGTTGGGGGAATCAGATGTTGCTGCTCCAATTGCGGGCTTCTTTGATGCTAACACATTATTATCCTTGGGAGGCGGCATAAACTGTTTTTTTGAAGCTGCACCATTCTTAGGCACCCCAGAACTAGCTGCCTTCTTCCATGATGAAGCTCTCTTTTCCTTCAGCAATGTTGACTGATTTGATGATGGCCCCACAGTTGGTGAGTTCTTAGAAGGAAACACTCCTCTCTTGTGGTTATCTACATGGCGATTTGAAGCAATCCCAACAAGCTTCCAAGGGGGGCGCTCTCCTTTTTCCTTCCATGTCCCAATATCTTTATGTTTCTCCTTGAACTTTAAGCATTCTTGTTGTAAGCACTTTCTATTAACATGTTTCTCTGATGATTGAACTTGATTCCCCAATGTTGCATTGGGCAAATCAGGCATCCCTAACTTCGAATGTTTCCGATTCAAAGGATTTTTCTTTTCCTTTCTGTCAGACATGGATAAAGTATGAGAGCAGAGGTTTTTTGCATCAGAGAATGGTTGAATGCTCTGCTTCTGCATCGTCGATGTCGCTCCAAGCTTCCTCCGATAACATCTCTCAACTGGTTCAGGGGAATCTGTAGGGACAACTATAGTTGTAACAAAAAAAATCTCTTTAATACTATGTATGAAAGAATTAATTGATCATATAAATGGAGTACCATTGAGCTCAGTGTCTATCTCCGTGTCAGCTGCCACTCGACCAACATCCAAAGCCATTGCTATTCAAATCAATGTATCCTATCATGGAGAGGGTAAGAATTTAGGAATCATTAGGACAACAATTTTACTTATAGCTGCATAGTAATTAGTACATACATCATTACATTTTTCAAACAATCTTAGATTTAATTTAAAGGGAAAGAACAAAAATACACAGGTATACATGATATGGTGTCCATCATTTAACTGATCAACATATCTTATGAAGAACATAAACTCCTGGGAAGGCGTACGTTTCCATTCTCGAAACTCTATAGAAACTCTCCAAACACTTTTTTTCCATTTAAAACCCTTTGTGTTTCGGTTTCTAGCTTACCTCCACTTCCCACTTTTTCTTATTTCATTCGAATGTGAAATTATTTCAAACCGTATCAGCCAATACACATCACAGTGAGTGAAATAGCAACGGGCCAACGACAACCTCAACTTAAATCCATGTTTTGGACGACTCCCAAAAATACCATCTCTGTATAACTGTATTATGTGGGAAAAAATCTGGTAGAACGATCACACTTGTCGAACGAAAATCAACGAAATTGGAAATTCCAACTATATATAAAAATTGTAAGGTAAACAAATATATACATGTATAAACGGAAAGAAGAAGAACCACCGCACCTTAACTATCTGTGCAATTCAAACTCGAAAGAGATTAAACAAGTAAGGTCGAAAACGAGAATATGAATAATATTGCATAATATACAAATCAAACAGGTCCCTGGAATGTCGGGAAAGAAGAACGGGAAGTACTTACGCACCAATTGTTTCAGTGGATCGTTTCTCAGAATAGTATTCTCGGATGAGTTGGAGCTGTAATTGTTTCTCCAGAAGAATAATCCATGTTGTCGAGCTCTTTATGCCACGTCATATGTACCGAGTTTTACACGCGAGGAAATTGGGGAATATGGGGGCGGTAAAGAAAAGCGGGCCAGCAAATCAGCAAATACTCACGACCGGATCCAGTCTAAAAATCTAGAGCCGATTTGATAGGAAGAAAATCGGTTAATTTGGCTGATTCTGCTGAAATTTATGAAGTTTTGGCTTGAGTGGCTGCATTGGCTGATTCTGCTGATTTAAAAAAAATTATTTTTAAAATACTACGTATATTTTATCTAAAAATAATTAAAATGATCATCTACGGTAACTTCAGCTAATACAGTCAGAAAAGTAACTTCAACTTTACTTTTTCTGCTTATTACACAATTCAACATGCGAAAGCAAAAATTACATGTTTGATGAAAAAGTTGTCTGATAAGTCGAAAAACAGTGTTGCCAATCGGCCTCCTAATCTGGCTAAACTGAATTTGTGTACATATACTTCGTAGTACTTAATAGTATTCGAATTTAGGTCATTTTATTTGTAATATGGTCAAATATAAATAGGAACCAAACAAAGTACGAAGTATTACATAGAAAAGTTAGTGATTATTTAAAACTTAAAAACTTTGCTAGTAAGTTTGAAAAATTAGACCGGTTTATCTAGATCGGTCCAAACCTATTGCATACCGATCCGGTCTTTGATCCAAGAGTTTTGTCGTTCCTGATTTTGTTTGACTCAATTCGATCCAAAACCTAAATTATGTCAATTCAGATCGCTTTGATCGATATTAAAATATTCTAGAAATGTGTGTGTATAATTAAGTCAAAGTTTTATGTTATTTCTTCAAGTGCATCGTTTGAAGTCATATTGTGTACCACAAAAAGAAAATTATTGTCATCTTCAAATCTTACTCTCATATTTTGACATTATTCAATCATCACTGAACCTTTCAAAAAAAATCATCACTGAATGCAATTATTACTCTGGTTTTGTAGAAAAAAAGTAGTACTTATATTGGGTATAATTAGTGAAGTAAAAATGTTGTTTCATTTGTACCGCGGGGCATTTGAAATGAATAGAGCCATAGGGAGGGTTAGTAAATACTCCGTATAAATTACTCATAGTTTATCATTTGTTTGAGGCCACCTTGTGATGGCGCAAAAGAGCAAGTGAGCAGCTAGTTTAAGGCGCCCTAAACGCTCCTTCCTCAGCAACCTAGCTCTAAGGCCTTCAACCATTGAGATTGAAATAAATATAAACATGGTAATGGATCACCTCCACTAAGAATGTTCTCTTTTGTACCGTTTTATGTCCCAGATCAGACCAGATTGGACCAGATTAGACTAGACCGGACCAGATCAAACCTGATCAGACCAGATCAGACTTCTTTAGTTATAAAATACACAGAGACCAGACATTTACCAGACCAGACCATGACAACAAATCTCAGTCGAAAAGAAAACATCCTAAATGATAGGTTGGAATTGGTGTGGAGGTTTAACCGTTTAAGACTTTCCCAAACAAGATACTCCGTACGTAGTATGTTATTTTGGTGTAACCTTTATTTGAGTTGGGGTAAAAGAGATTTACTAGAAACACTTTTACCCAAACATCACAGGTTTGTTACCCTTAGAGCTCGTTTGGTAGTTTACATATTAAAACTTTACATGTAAAGTGATTACATGTAAAGTTTAGGGTCGTAAAATAGTTTGCGTGTAAAATAGAAATACATCGTTTGGTCTAATGTATTTTTAAATTACACGATTATTCTTTATATTGTTTCTTGTCCATCTACGGAGTATTTACTGTAGAAAATGACTACCGAGTATATAGTTGATCAAATTAAACGGTGCCGGAGAAGATGTCCTGAAAGGCTGAAACCTTGAGAAAGATTAACCACTACAATATTTAGAAAATAGCTACAGTCACACGTAGTTAACCAAATTAACGTGGAGTGCAGTGAAACTAAGCAGATGAGTCCAAAGATCAATGGGGAAATTTGATGAAATTGGTTTGCCGATTTTCTTCTCTCGTCGTCAAAGATTTTGATTTGCCGCCCAGGTGAGTCTCAAAAGTCTAGTAGTTTAGGTTGCGTATAAATATTCTCGCTCCCATAAACGGATGTAAACTAGTTTACCACCCTCCACCCACGTAAAATATTTTACATGGTACAGTGTAAAATGTTTTAAAAAAAGTGTCATACAGTTTGCATTAAATAATTAAAACAAACGGTGTAAAATGTTTACATCTCCACACTTTACATGCGAAATGTTTACTTTACATCCTAACAAACGGGCCCTTAATTAGATACATTGTCCCTTAATTGTGGAAGCGAGTGGAATCAACACAAGATAAAATTAAAGGTGTTCCCTTTGAGAAATCACTTAGAAGGGACTCATAACTCATTTTTAATACGGAGTAGTTACTAAGAATATTTAACCACGAGTGTCAATACACATGACACATCTCATGATTTAATTGTCTAGAAGTTACGTTCTTTTGAGAAGTACAGTTGAGATCGATCGTCTCATCGAGAACGAATCACATTCCAACACAGAGCATTTCGGTTATAAAAGAAATACTTTCTCCATTCCTCAATTATCTTTGATTTTGCACGAGAATTAAGAAAGTCAGAATTATGTGATGGACAGTTGTGCAGAGAAGAGGAAAATGTGAAAGAAATGTTTTGAACAACAATTTTTTATAAAAATGAAAAAAGATTATTTTGAGACAGACGGGAAAAAATCGGAAGATAAATTCAGGGACGGTTGGAGTATTTTATTTGGCATAAAATCTCATCTCGTTAATATGTTTTAGTGATACAAATCTCGCTTTGCCTTGTGCTTTCTTTTTTAGATTGTGTTGAGACTTGAGTCGTCTAAGATCCAAACTTTGTCAAAAATAGTGATTTATGGGTCCATATTGAAGACTAAAAGAGCTCAATTATTATATGTAACACGGAAACTCCCGGGAAAGAGTATGTTTATGTTTCAAAAACTCTACGGGAAACTCTTTGACTCAATTATTATACAGTCATATCGAGCTCAAACCGGTTTTAACGTCGCACCCAAATGTCCAACTGAGTTACTTGAGTCATACTACAATATATCTTTACTTCTCATATTATAGTGACTTGATAAGATCGAATGAGTTTGGGAATGTGTATTTACTCCACCCTAATATGCACATGTAACTATTCCTATAGCGGTACGGTATAGCCAATATAATTTCTCTTTCGTTTATTTCAAATGGTATTAATCCGGTCAATCGAGCAAATTTCTCTTGATATATATAGTGATACGTGAACAAAAAAAATAAGTATTCAAAACTTATACATGTTTGAAAATAAATGTTATTTTCTTCAATATGTGTACACAAAATAACATATTCTTACTTGTATTATTGGATAATTAGATTACATATGTAACATATTTAAAGAAGTATAATTTTAATAAATTATTCCAACATTTTCTGTTTAGAAGAATATAACTAAAAAGCCTTTTGTTCTTAATGTTCACAAGTCATCTTCTCATTTTAGATCTAGATTTACGTTTTTCATATCTTTAATTACCAACTCTCGAATTGACGGTCTTTAAGATTCATATATTCATATATTTTGTGGGGCGTTTTCCATTGTTGGCTAGACTTGTCTAGGTACCGTCTTTAGAGATTCTTAATTAGTAGTAATTTTTTAAGAACACTCAATACAACGTTATAATTTTGGACAATAAAACGTGGATACTAATTAGGGAGCTATTATTATTTGACCCATGCTAATACATGCTAATAAGCGGGCAAGCTAGACTGCGAGAGTGTTGCGTTTATGCTTTTGGCATTGCCACCGATATATGTGCTAGTACATGTTTGTGATTACCTAGCCTGGCCCACCCCATCTAGCGGTTACGTAGCCTTGTGGCTTATTTTTAAGGGATTTTTTCGCAAATAGACAAACAAACGAAAGTAATATCACTTTTGTCACTGTTAAAAATTCTTTTCAAAAATGGATCGATTAACCTTTTTCTTTCAAAAATAGGCTATGTGCATATAAACCCCGTATACTGAAAGTGAGGAATCGTGCGGCCAGTAGCAGGGATATTTATTTGAGCAGAAGGCCAGCATGTACGGGTGATGATGCCTGACTCTTCATACATCCACGTTGTTAATTTTTTTTAAAGGACTCATGTTAAATTTATTATACAAACTCAAGAATTACTCAATTACATGGTTTTAAATAGAAAAAGTGTAAATATTTAGTAAAATGTAAAAAGATGAAGGTAATTAGAATATACTCCGTATGGAGTAATCCAAGTATTAAAAATAAGATATAAAAAATTAAGAAATCAAATCATATGGAATAAAAAACTGAGTTTGAAAAATGTTAATCAAGAAATATATAGAAAATTCGACAATACAAAACTCAAAAGTAAGAATAAGAAAAATAATCAAAGAATGCATAGCCCCTTAATTTGTATAAAAAGCACGTATAAAACAATAAAAATATGCGGACCAAATAATTGAAATTTTTATAAAATAAATAAAAATTCAAATTGAAAATATATAATTAGAAAATAAAAAAAATCATCAAAACATGAAAAAAACTCTGAAATATTTAGAATCTTAAAAAATGATTAAACTTAAAAAATGGTATTAAAAATATTAAAAATTATGGTACAACATTATAAACTTTTTATGAAACAGTTATTATTTTAGAAACTGAAATATATTAAAAAGTATTGATTTTTTAAATTTGATAAATAATTATATAAATTTGAAAAATGTTTAAAAATCGAATTAAATGCTACAGTACAAAATAAAAATAAATAAATCATTCTTTTCAAAAAAAGTAAAAAGAAGAAAATGTATTTAGACTAACAAGATCGAATGGAAAATATAAAACTTAAAAATAAAAATGTGAAAACTGAAAATAAATTCAAAACAAAATTAAACATTGAAACAATTGAAATAATTTAAAAATATAAATTTCGTAATTTTTTTTAAAATAGTTACAAATTTAACAATTCTTATTATATACTTTTGGTGTTTGCTTTTTGTTG